GAGAGGAGAGTTGTGTGTGTGTGTGTGTGTGTGTGTGTGTGTGTGTGTACGAGCACGTGTGTGGTATACGTGTAGGACTGAAAGCATATGGGTGTATATGTCTGCAGGTGTGTGAGAAGACGTCGAGTACACGGGTGTGTGTTGGGGTCTCTGGAAGGTGTGTCTCTGGGTGTTGGTGTCTGTGTGTGGGGCGTGTCTGGCTGTGTGTTTCCGTCCCTGGGTGTGTCCAAGGACAGGATAAGTCCTCATGGCAGGGGGCTGATCCCCTGGCCGTCCCACCTGGGTTCTGGCTGAGGCCTGTGGGCTCTGATACCCCTTTAACGCCCCCCCCACCCCCGGCACCACCTGACGTCGCATGCAGCCTGCCAGTGCTGCAGTGAGCGCGCACACACACAAGCGTGCACACACGGAGCCCCGAGCCTCCGCAGCCTTCTCCGGGGACCCTTGCCCTGCCCTTCCCATGGGCAGGGGCCCCCCCACTGCCTCCTGCTGCTGCCGTGGGGCCCATGAGGGCCAGGGGCAGGTGGACCATGTAACCAGGGGTGCTGCTGGGAGCGCGGAGGGGAAGGGAGCCCCCAGCCTTGCTGGGCCGGCCCAGGCCCCTCCGCGGCTCCCCCTTTGCTGCCCACCCACCCAGTCCCCTCCCCGTGGCTGATAACCCCAGGACTCCCCAACCCAGCCGGTGCAAGCAGCAGCCCCGAGCGGGGCTAAGGCTACAAGATGCCCTTGGTGGATTTCTTCTGCGAGACCTGCTCCAAGCCGTGGTTGGTGGGCTGGTGGGACCAGGTAGGGAAGCATGGTGTGGGGTGGGCGGGAGATGCTGCCCTGCCCTGCCACCCTGGGACCCTCCAGCCCCGGCGTGGGCTTGTGTGTGCAGCTGTGCACGAGTGGCCTGGGGATGTAGCCTGTGACCGTCCCTGTGTGTGGCCCAGGGCTGGGTGTGGATGGCAGGAGGCTGGGGGTGTGTGGCTGTCACTGGGTGTGACTGTCAGGGCCGGCATGCGTGTGTGTCCCCCTTCCCCCCCGGGCATATACTTATGCGCCTGGGTCACAGCGTGGCCTGTCTGAGATCTCTCGACTCTGCGTGTTCTATGTCGGGCCCCATCATAAGCCCACAGCTGCCTGTATTTCTAGGGCATGTGACCTCGAATGTCACTGGCTGGCTTATTGTCTGTCCCTTGACTTGGGTGTCTGGGCTGTGTGACACTGTGCAGGGTGACTCTGTGTGTGGTGGTGTGAGATTTTGTGGGTCCATCTTGAGTGTGTGTGTATGTGTGTGTGTGTGTGTGCGTGTGTGTGTGCACGCATCTTCACGTGTCCCAGGGTCTCCGGGCTGCCCAGGTGAAGTGAGCACCCCATGCCCCAGGGTGGGCCATGCAGGCTCCCCCTTCCTGTCCCTCCCATCTGGCTGCACTGAGCCTGCTTCTGTTTTGGGGGTTCTTTGGCAGAGCTTGGGGGCGGGGAGCTGATGCCCTTTCTAGTCCATGCACAATGTCACAGCAGAGGCCTGTGTGAAGTGGCATGGGGGGACCAGGAGGGGCCCCCAAGCTGGGTTTCGGGTATGCTCCGTGCATCTGTGCATCTGTCTACCTCCCTGAGGTTGGGGAGGGGGCTATGATGGGAATCCCTCTCCCCCTCCCCCATCAGCAGCCTGGGATTTCCTCAGCTCCCTGTTCTCTCCCCCGCCTTGGCCAGATTCCCCCTTCTCCCAGAGATAGAGGACTAGTTTTTTCCTTCCAAATCGGGGTGGAGGCTGGGGCCCAGAATGCCTAGGGAGGAGGGTCCCTGTCTGGAAAGACCAGGGTCAGGGGCAGTTCGGGAAAAGCAAGGGTTAAGGAGCCTCTGGCTTGCCCCCCTTTTCCCCAGCTCAGCAGCTGGTTGGAGGGGGAGTTGCTAAGGAGACTCCCATCGCCATGGTGACGGGGATTCTCCTGATACCCCATTGGCTCCCTGTTAGGCAGGAACCCCTCCCTTCCACAGGTGCCCCTCTGGCTCCTCCTGGGAGGAGGGTCTAGGGGAGGGGAGGGGAGCTCTTGTTTTCTGAAGCTGGGAAGGGCGTCCAGTTCCCGACCCCGCCTCCCAGCCTGGGGTCACGCCCCCTGAGCAGCCTGGAAGAGGCTCCGTGGGCTGAGCAGAGAAACAGGGGGCATCCATGGGGGTCTCTGGGAGCGCCTTGAGAAGGCCTGAAATGTGCACACACACATACACGCTCACACACATGTACAGGTGCGTACACACACGATTCCCCACCATCCCTTCCTTTCTGACTTTCGCCTTAGTTCAAGAGGATGCTGAACCGTGAACTCATACACCTGTCAGAAATGAGCAGGTCAGGAAACCAGGTTTCAGAGTACATTTCTACAACATTCCTGGGTGAGTGACGGCAGCGCGTGGGCGGCGGGACAGCTGGGCTGGAAGGCTTCTCCTCACCCCTTTTCGGGCCTTTTATCCACATGGTCAAGGGGCCCTGGCTCTTCCCACCCTAAAATCAGACCACCATGCTCGAGACCTTCCATACTTGGGCTCCAAAACTCAGTGGAACCCCAATGGGACTCTCCAACTCAAGAGACACACCCCCCCCGACTCAAAGTATTCTTTTTTTTTTTCTGGAATTAATTTCATTTTATTTATTCATTCATTTATTTTAATTTGGCCAGAGAGAGACATAGAGAGCGAGAGAGAGGGAAAGCGATAAAGCAAGCCACCAGGTCCGGGACTCAAACCGTAGTTGGTCATGTGGGAGTGTCCAGCACCTTAATCACCATGCCACCTGCTGGTCCCCTCAAAGTATTCTTAAACCTCAGAAAGACTCCAAGCTAAGAGCTGGCCCTGTGGTCTGGTGGTTAAGGGAAATGGATCCCGCATTACCAAGCGTGCAGTTCAGTCCTGGCCCCAGCAGCTTGAAAAACACGCTGGGAGCACATGGGTGCCCCAGATCCCAACAGGACGGAGACCTGAACGTGACGGGATTGTGACCACACCTCACTGGGGAGTGTTTTCTCCCTCTCTGCTTCTGGGGTGTGTACACGCCCCTCTGGCAATTAAAAAATTCAATTATTATTATTTTTTTTAGAGATCAGCAATTAGTGTAATGGCTATGTCACTGGAATCCCATGTAGTCAACCACAGTTCGAGTCCCGGACCTGGTGGCTTAAATTCACGCCAGGCGCATATGCGTGCCCAAGATCGCAAGAAGAGAATGGAGGAGAAGGGATTGTGGCCATCCCCCCCGGGGGTGATTTCTTGCTTTCTGTCTTTCTGTTGAGTGCACGCACCCTATAGCAAAAACCTCTCCAAAAAGAAATAATAATAATTAAAATAAAATTTAAATTAAATAATCCTTTTGTTTTTATTTGAAGATAATTTTTTTTTTTTTTTGGAGAGGCTTTTGCTATATGGTGCGTGTGCTCACCAGAGAGACAGAGAGACAGGAAGCAAGAAATCACCCCCCAGGGGCGATGACCAGACCACAGTCCCTTCTCCAATCTCCTCATCTTGGGCATGCACACACATGTGCCCGGCATGAGTTTAAGCCACCAGGTCCAAGACTCAAACTGTGGTCAACTACATGGGAGTCCAGCGACATAGCCATTATGCTAACTGCTGGTCCCTGAAGAGAGGTTTCTGCTAAAGGGCACATGTACTCACGGGAAAGACATAGGGACAGAGAGACAGAAAGAAAGCAAGAAATCACCCCCTGGGGGGATGACCACACAACAGTCCCTTCCCCTGGATTCTCCTCTTAGGATCCTGGCCTTGCATGCACATGTTCCCGGAGTGAGTTTAAGTCGCCCATCCGGGACTCCAACCATGACTGACTACATGGGAATCCAGCAACATAATCGTTACACCGTTTGCTGGTCCTGTAATCATTAAATAAAATAATTCTAAAAAAAAAGAGTAATATTAATGATAAATAAAATTACATAAATAATTCAAAAATATAGAATAAGAAAAAGTACCAGCAAATCCCAAAGGCCCCCAAGTTCAGACAACCTCCCTCCCCAAAAGAAGGGTTCAGAGTTGCAAAGACTCCAGCCAGTAAGGGCGTGGCATGCCGCTGAGTTCTGAGGATCCAGCCAATGGGAGCGTGGCATGCAAATGACCCCTGTCCAGCCCTCTGTTTGACAGATCACAATGAACCTCCGCTGAGCTCTGGAAGCTCTCCAAAGCTCAGCAAAAGGGCTTCTGGGGCTGGCCTCCAGGCAGGCTGGTGCCAAGGGGGGGATATGGAGCCAGAGACCACCCTCCCCACACCACTCCCAGCGATGTCCCCTACTCCCAGCACTCTCGGACACCATGCAGGGGTTTTCCCCGCCCGAGAGGGTTCTTTGAGTACCCGGGGCAGACCGCGGCTGTCCCTGGCATCCCCAACCCACTACTTTACTTCTGCCCTTCTGCCAAACCTGGCTGTTGGACTGGGGCCACCCCACAGCCCCAGGCAAGATCCAGGGCTCCCACCCCATCCCAACACCTCCCAGAAAAAATCCTACGTGCCCTCTGGTTTCAAGCCTCTGGATAGCCATCAGTGTGATACCCAGAAGGGACCTGCTCTACCGGGTGAGGGTTCCAGGATCTGGTGCGGAGGAGCGGGGCTAACGAATGGGGGAGTCTTCGGAACGGGGAGCGCTGGTGCTTACCCGAACCTCCCCGCCACTGTGTGCAGACAAACAGAATGAAGTGGAGATCCCATCACCCACGTTGAAGGAGCAGCGAGAGAAAGAACAAGCACCGCCACCCAGACAGAGACCCGCCCAGCAGCCCCCGCCCCCGGTGCCGCAGTTCCAGCCCATGTCCCAGATCACTGGGGTGAAAAAGTTGACGCACAGCAGCAGCCTGAGCGACTCCAGTTTTCCCCGCTTTGGGGTGAAGACCGACCAAGAGGAACTCTTGGCCCAAGTGGGTGGAGGCTCAGCTGAGGCTGGGCTGAGGAAGGGTAGTGGCTCCCTGGGGTCCAAAGAAGGCCAGCACGTTGGGGTCCTTAGAAAGAGGTGGTGAGATGAGGATCGGGTGTTCCTGCATTAGGATGTGGAGCCGCAGGAGGGAGGGGATTAAGGAAGGACTGGATGATGTGGAACACAGAGGTCTCAGCTGCGTCTGTGGGCAGCTCCTGAGTGTAGAGAGTATGACAGGGCCGAGCCCGCCAGGAGGGAAAGTGGATTTTTGTTTTGTTTTGCTATTTTTATTTTTATTATTTATTTATTTATTTACTTATTTATTTATTGCCTGAGAGTTTGTCAGTAACAGAGCAGAAGGGAGGAAGCAGTCCCCATGGGGAATTGTCATGTCAGTATCCCTTCTCTTCTGTGTCTCCATCTTTTTGGGATGCGGTCACATATACACACATCCAAAGTGTTTTTCTGTTTTCTTTTTAAGTTTTGTGGCTTTTTTTAAAACTATTTTTGGAATTATTTCATTTTCTTTATTCATTCCGTTATTTTCATTTGACCAGAGAAAGACAGACACACAGAGAGAAGGAAAGTGAGAAAGCGAGCCACCAGGTGCAGGACTTGAACCGCAGTCGGCCATGTGGGAGTCCAGCGCCCTTAATCACCACGCCACCTGCTGGTCCTGATCTAGCCCTCTGAACCACCAGGTTATGGAGCCAGCCCCAAAGAGTTGCTGTTGGCATCGCTGTTTTTCAGTCATTGGTTGGGTGCTGCCCTCAGGGTAAATGGTGTCACCTCTTTTATAAAATACAGCTCCTAGAGGGGCAAGAGAATAGTTTTCTAGAAGAAAGGGCAGCTTTGACCTTTGAAAGCAGCGCTCCCGGCCACTGGGAGACTTGGTGCACAGGTCATTGTCATAGACCCAGACACAGCCCCACTAGTGTCCTGTCCAGTCCAGAGCTGGGTTTGACTCTTCACTCGTCCGGAACGTAATGGAAACAGTGAATCCTGGGTGGTTCGTTCAACTGAAGGTGTTCGTTTTTATTTTTTAATTTTTATTTAATTTTATTTGTTCCTTCATTTATTTTCATTTGACCACAGAGAGAGAGAGAGAGAGAGGGGGAAAGTGAGAAAGCAAGCCACCAGGTCTGGGACTCAAACTGTGGTTGACTGTGTGGGAGTGCCTAGCGCCTTAACCACCACGCCACCTGCTGGCCCCCTGTTTTTTTGTTTTTAATTTGTTATAGGATGTGTGCATTCACCTGAGAGAGACAGAGAGAGAGTGGGAAATCACCCCTTAAAGAGGATAGCCATGCCACGGTCCCTTCTTCTCCACTCTCTCAGGATTTTGGGCACACACATACATGCGCCTGGTGTGTTTCTCAAGTTACGGGGTCTAGGACTAGAACTACGAAGTTGGCCATGTGGGATTCAGCTGCCTTCACCACCACACCACCTGGCTGGTCCAGTTTTTGTTTTGTTTAATTGCCAGAGGGCAGAGAAAGAGAAAGGACCCCTCAATGGGGCATGCTGCAGTCCCTTCTCCACTGTCCATCCCATTAGGATTTTAGGTATATTTTTTAAGCCTATAGGGTTAATATTTGAACCATAGTCAGCAGGGTGGGATCTGGCTTGCTTTTTATTATGAAAGATTTTTTGGTATAGGGCGTATGTGCTTGACAGAGAAATCGAGAGATAGAGACAGCCTCAGGGGGATGGCCACATCGCAATCCCTTCTCCTCCATTCTCCTTGGGATTTTTGGGCATGCACCCTCACACGCCCAGCGTGAGTTTTAAGCCACTGGGTCCGGGACTCGAACCACGGTCGACTATGTGGGAGTGTAGTGATGTTATCATTACACCCTGCTGGTCCTGGGATCTGGCTCTCTTAAACAGGCTATGAGACCAGCCATCAGGTGACATCTTTTTATAACCCTCTGCGAGTGTCACTGGAGAGTCCTTGGTTCAGTCATTCCGTGTTTACTGGGCCACTAGTATGTGCACCTGTTGTGTTTGCTGAGCACCTCCTATGAGTGCCACTGTTCTGGATTCTGGAGTGACTGGACAATAAGCCGGTCTTATTTTCTTGTCCGGGGGCTAGTGGTCAGTTCAGCTGAGGCTGAGGGTGTCTGGGGACCAGCTGGGTTCCCATCCCAGCCTTGCCTCTTATGAGCGGCAAGATCTTAGAGAGTTCACATCACTTCTCTGAGCCTTGATCTCCCCATCTGCCAGATGAGATCGAGTGTTTACTGCAGAGTTTGGTGGGTTAAAAAATACTCGAGCCAGTACCTGTGGTTGCTTTGTTACTTTCTAACCCAATGGGACTTGGGATAGAAATGTTATGGTTCTAAATGCTACCTCTTCTATGAGCAATAATGATGCATCCTTCAAATCACAGCCCCAATTTTCTAGAAAAGGGTCTTCAGGCCAGCGGGTGACTTGGTGGTTAAGGCACTGGATTCCCACATGGACAACCATGGTTTGTGTCCTGCATCCAGTGGCTTGAAAACCATGCCGGGAGCGGGAGGAGGGTCAGCAGGTGGCATGGTGGTTAAGGTACTGGACTCCCATGTGACCGATTGCGATTCAAGTCCTGGACCTGGCAGCTTGCACGTGTACATGCATGCCCAAAATCCCAGGAAGAGAATGGAGGAGAGGGTGGGGGCTGTGGCATCCTTCGTCGGGGGGGGGGGTGATTCACACTTTCCCTCTCACTGTCTCTCTCCAGCAAGCGCATGCACCCTACGGCAAGAAGAAAAGGAAGAAAGGAAGCCATGTTGGGCACATATGCATGCATGCTCAAAATCCCTAGAGGAGAAGGGATTAGGACATGCCCATTCCTCCTGGGGAGTGTTTTTTCTCGTTCCCTTTCTCTGTCTCTTTCCGGCAAATGTGCACACCCTATGGCAAAAACCTTAGGGGAAAAAAAAACTAAGAAAGAAAGAAAAGGGTCTCTGGGGCCAGCCAGTGGCTTGGGGGGTAGCATGGTGGTCGAGGTTGCTGGACTCCCACATGGCCAACTGTGGTTCGAGTCCTGGACCTGGTGGCTTGCTTTCTCTCTCTCTCTCTCTCTCTCTCATTCTCTTTCTCTGGTAGAATCGAAATAAATGAACGAATAAATAAAGTTAAATAAAATAATTTAAAAAAAGAAAGAAAAGGGTCTCAAGGGCCTTGGGCCCTGTTGGCTCCTGACCTCTGACCTCTGACCTCCATCTCCACCAGGAACTGGAAAACCTGAGCAAGTGGGGCCTGAACATCTTCTGTGTGTCCGATTATGCCGGAGGCCGCTCCCTCAGCTGCATCATGTACACGATATTCCAGGTGGGGGAACAGCGGGGAGTGGGCCAAGCTGTGAGGAGCACGGGGCTGGGTGCTTAGGGTTGGTGAGAGTCACCGCCCTGCCCCTGGCTGCCCTCAGGAGCGAGACTTGCTGAAGAAATTCCGCATCCCCGTGGACACGATGGTGACGTATATGTTGACGCTGGAGGACCACTACCACGCCGACGTGGCCTACCACAACAGCCTGCACGCGGCCGATGTGCTGCAGTCCACCCACGTGCTGTTGGCCACGCCTGCGCTGGATGTGAGCACCTGCCACCTGCCCGTGGCCCCTCAACCCCAACTCGTCACTTCCCCTCTTCAGTCTCCTGTGTGTGTTTCTGACCTCGTGTCTCTGACCTCCATCTCTCTTTGACCCTGTTCCTCTAATTTTCATCTTTCTCTCCTGACCCCCATCTTTCTCCACCACCCTAATTTCCCCCGATCTCTGTCATCCCATTCTGACCCTTTTCCTCTCCCATCTCCATTATTCTAACCTCTTTCCGCGATCCCCTCCCCCTTTGCTCTCAGGCCGTGTTCACAGACTTGGAAATTCTGGCTGCCCTCTTCGCAGCTGCCATCCACGACGTGGACCACCCTGGGGTCTCTAACCAGTTCCTCATCAATACCAGTAAGTGGCTGGCCCCGCTGGGGTGGGGCTGGAGGCGGGGTTTGCGAATTTGGGGGCGTGGTTGACCAGGTTGGGTGTGGCTTGCTTTCTCTGTTGGAGGCAGGGCTTATCAGGCTGGGGCGGGGCTGACCTGACTTGGGGGTAGCTGGTTCCATTGGAGGTGGGACTGGCCACGCTGGGGCGGGGCTTGCCCCGTTGGGGGCGGAGCTTGGACTGGGGCGGGGCTAGCCTCGTGAGCTTTACCCTGACTTCTGGGCTTGGGCTGCAGATTCAGAACTGGCGCTCATGTACAACGATGAGTCGGTGCTCGAGAATCACCACCTGGCTGTGGGCTTCAAGCTGCTGCAAGAGGACAACTGCGACATCTTCCAGAACCTCAGCAAGCGGCAGCGACAGAGCCTGCGCAAGATGGTCATCGACATGGTGGGCGGGGCCAGGGGCGGGACAAGAGGGGGTTAGAAAGGCTTTGAGGAGCGGGCATGGGGTAGGATGGGTCTGAGTCACAGAGGAGCCCTTTGAATCCTGAGCATCGGTGGGTATGCCGGAGGGGTGGGCTCAGCTGCCCCTGTGATACCCCCTCGCCCACAGGTGCTGGCCACAGACATGTCCAAGCACATGACCCTCCTGGCTGACCTGAAGACCATGGTAGAGACCAAGAAAGTGACCAGTTCGGGGGTGCTCCTGCTGGACAACTATTCTGACCGCATCCAGGTGCCAGCTGCCCCCCATTGTATGACATGGGACCCTTTCCCTTCCCCCACCCCTTTAGATCTGTGTAGCTGTTCCAGCATCTGTCACCCATGTCACCTCTCTTTCTGTCCCTTTTCCTCTCTGTTCCCACCTCCATCCTCCAACTCTAACCCCATCTCTTTTTCCATCTCTTGGTATTTCTTTCCATCTTCCCCAATGCCTTTCTCTTTTTTTAGTTGCTGGAGTGTGAAAGTACTGGGGGGGGCGGAGAAAGACAGAGAGGGGTTAAAAAGAAAGCCGCAGGCCCCAGAGTGGGAGGGGGTGTGGCCTCTGAAGGGCCTCCTAACCCCCCACACCTCACAGGTCCTTCGGAACATGGTGCACTGTGCAGACCTGAGCAACCCCACCAAACCGCTGGAGCTGTACCGCCAGTGGACAGACCGCATCATGGCCGAGTTCTTCCAGCAGGGCGACCGCGAGCGCGAGCGCGGCATGGAGATCAGCCCCATGTGTGACAAGCACACAGCCTCCGTGGAGAAGTCTCAGGTACAGGCTCTGGGCAGTGGTGTAAGGGGCCGGGGCAGACCTGCCCAATCCATGTTGGGCTAGAGCCCTGAGATCCAGACCTGCCTCTCCACAATGTCAGTTTTTTCTGTTTGGTTTCCCTTATCTTTTCTTCTTTTTCTAAACAATTATTTATTTGGAGCAGACAAATGGCATGGAGGTTAAGGCACTGGACTCCCACATGGCTGACGGTGGTTCGAGTCCTGGCCCTGGTGACTTGTTTTCTCACTTTCCCGCTCTCTCTGGTCAAATTTTAAAATAGTAACAAATACAATTAAATAAATAATTCAACTGTATTTGTTGTTCTTTTTTTTCTTGAGAGGTTTTTGCTATAGGGTGCATGCGCTCGCCAGAAAGACAGAAAGCAAGAAATCACCCCCCTAAAGGGGATGATTCTCCTCTCAGGATCTCGGGCACACACAGACACGTGCCCGGCATGAGTTTAAGCCACTGGGTTCGGGACTCGAACCGCAGTCGACTACATGGGAGTTCAGCGACAGAGCCATTATGCTAACTGCTGGTCCCTTATTTATTTTAATTTGACCAGAGAAAGAGAGAGAGAGAAAAAAAAGCAAGCAAGCCACAGGTTCGGGACTTATACCGTGGTCAGCCATGTGGGAGTATCCGGTGCCTTAACCACCATGCCACCTGCTGGCCCCCATCATTCTTAGAGATTTTTGCTATAAGGCACATGATCTTGCTGAAGAGAGACAGACAAAAAGCCGGAATTCACTCCCCGGGAGAATGACCATGCAACAATCCCTTCTCCATTTTTCTCTCGGGATTCTGGGCACGCACACACATTCACCCAATGTGAGTGTCAAGCTGCCAGGTCTGGGACTCGAACCATGGTCGGCCATGTGGGGAATCCAGCACCTTCACCACAACACCACCTGCTAGCCCCGTGTTTTACATTTTATGTCATGGAGCTCCATGGCAGGGCCACCGCCCCTCTGGCCTCTTGGCTCCTACCTCGTTCCCTCTTCCCCCAGGTGGGTTTCATCGACTATATCGTGCACCCGCTGTGGGAGACGTGGGCAGACCTCGTCCACCCGGATGCCCAGGAAATCCTAGACACGCTGGAGGATAACCGGGACTGGTACTACAGTGCCATTCGGCGGAGCCCATCGCCACCGCCCGAGGAGGAGCCGGGGGGCCCAGGCCACCCACCCCCACCGGATAAATTCCAGTTTGAACTGACGCTGGAGGAGGAGGAGGAGGAAGAAGCACCCACGGCCCAGGATGTGTCTGAAGTGCCTGGATCGCCCCCAGCTCCGGATGCTAGCCTGGCCCAGGATGCATCTCCCTCTGAGGATCTTTTCAAGGTCAAGGGCCGGGATGAGGTCCACGTAGAAGAACTAAATATGGCACAGTGGGCTGACTCAGCCGGTGGTGTCCCCGAGGCCCAGGACGTATCCGGGTCCCCGAAGGAATATATAGGGGCCGTAAGCTACAGCAGCTCTCCTGCCCTGTGTCTTGAAAACCCTCTTCTACCTGCCTTGAGGACCCCGTCCATTCCAGAGGAGGCCCTGGGCCTCCCGGGCCTCCCCTCCGTGGCGGCCGAGGTGGGGGCCCATACAGAGCACTGGGCTGCCAACAAGGCTTGCTGGGCCTGCACAGGGACATCTGGGGACAACCCAGCCACACTCCCAGCTCCTGGCAGGTGGGGATCAGGTGGAGACCCTACCTGAGCCCCAACCCCTTCACTCCATTGTCCTCCCGGCCTCCCTCCACCCCAGCCACCCTTCTCCTCCCACTGCCTCAGTGATTCCTGGCCCTCCTAAGAAAAAAGAAAACAGAAAAGTGGAGGATTTTTTCTCTTTTCTTTTTTTCCCCCTGCCTTCCCCTCGCCCCCACCTATGGGGCCTTTTATTGGAGGTGGGGGCTGGGGAATGAGGGGCTAAGGTCCCAGAAGGGATTTTATTTTTTTGAATTTTAATTGTAACATTTTTAGAAAAAGCCAAAAAAAAAAAAAAAAAAAAAAAAGATTGAAACACAGCAACTGTAGACGCTCCTATTCCTGGTTCCCCTGTTCCACCTCCAGACCCCAGACTCCAGCCCCCAGCTCCCCACCTAACCCCCAGAGTTCAGGCTCAGTCTTCCAGCCTCCTCTGCCCCGTCACCTGGGCCCAGGCAGGCGAGGAGCCTCATTCTGGAGCCTTTTCTGCTCACTTTTGGAGGGTCGGTAGAGTCCAGCCAGGAATAGCCATCCTGGGAGGGGGAGACGGTGTGAGAGGGGCTGGCGGGAGGTCACTGTAGGAGGCCCCAGCTCTAGCCCCCCTCTGGCTCTCTCTTCCTCCCAAAGTCTTCCACCTCATTTTGGACAAACCTGGCAATACTGGCAGGGGGTCAGGGAGCCCTCGGGGAGCTGTTCAGTTTAGGATATGGGGGGGGGGGGGTGGTGTGAAGGGATATTTACGCCACCAGGCCTCAGGCTTGAGATTTGAGGAGGGACTGAGGCCCCTTGGTTTGCCACCCCTTCCATTTTGGGTTCACTTCGAATTTTCTCCGTTTGGGGGCGGGGCTCCGATCTGCACATGCCCCGCCCCTCCTTCCAGCTGCTTCTCCTCTTGTTTCTTGCCTTAATGATTCCCGTGGCCATAGGAGATGGGATGGCAGTGGCTCCTACCCGCACCTTGGGTGGAGTCAGGCCAAGCCCAGAGCCCCCACCCTGGGCACACCACCCTCCAGCATCCTCCTGACCCCCTTCCAGACTCTGCCCAGAGCCCCCCAACCCTCTGTCCTAGGAGGAAGCAATAATGGTGTTTACCCACATCCCTCATCCTAGGCAACCTTTTCCTCCCCTGCACCAAAGTCATTTCTCTGTTGTCCCTACCTTACCAAGCCTCTCCCTCGCTCCCTCGCTAGTCCCTGAGCAATACGACAGACAGATGCAAGGCCATTTTTCTCCAAGCCATGGGGGACTGTTGGAAGGGAAAGCCCCCTCCCCTTTTAATCCTCCTATACCCCTCAGCCTGGTTCTGCAATCCATCTGTCTGTCCACTTCCACTCCCACCTAACCCCGATGATGCTGTACAGGGTTCATTTTTGTAGCAAAAGCAGTTTTTGACCCAGCCGGCAAACCGGAGTGGGTCTTTCGTTTTTGTTTTTGTTTTTTTTTTCCTGTTCTTTTCATTCTTTGCAATGAATTGTTTTTGGTTTTGTATATACTGTAAGGTGGGTTTGTAAATTATTCTACAGAGGTAAAAAGGGAAAAATAATCTTACCTCTTCCCCGGCTGACCCAGGTGGGAAGGTGAGGAAGGGGGGGTTTCCTGGAAGGAGAATCTCCGTTCCCACTGTATTCTACAAATTGTACTATAGTCCCAGGACGAGGGTGGCCTCACCACGATGGTTTTATGGGAAGTTGTGTCATCCTAAGGGGTGAGGGATGAGCAGAGCCTGTACCTTCCCCCTTCCCTTTCCCCAGGCATCAAGGTTCCTCTCCGCCCCGGGTGGGTGCAGGACTTCCGTGAGCTGCTTGCGTGTTGTCCACTTTGATGATCAGTTGGTCCGTCGATCGATACTAAATCCTTCGATCTTGTCTCCAATTAAACCGAGGCTTTCACTGATCCGCCTGGCTGGTGTGGCTTCATTCCCCACCTTGGTGGTGGAGGTACCTCTTCTAAGCTGGCTGAGGAAGGGGTGTTCTGTGCCTAACCTCCCCCAGCGGGGGGGAACTGTCAGCAGAACTCGGCCCAAACTGGTACATAGGGACACCAGGTTATAAAATGGGATTACAGATCATCAGAGATTTTTGCTACAGGGCACGCGCACTCACCAAAGACAGAAAGTGAGAACAGAAAGTGAGAAATAACCGCCCCACGAGATGGCCGTGTTGTAATCCTTTTTCTTTCATGCGCACATGTACACATGTGGCCAGCATGAGTTTCAAGCTTCCAAGTCTGGGACTTGAACTGCAGTTACCTATGAGGGAGTCCAGCAGCGCCTTTACCACTATGCCACCTGCTGGCCCTCAGGTCATGCAGCCTTTCAGGCCATAGACAAGGCTGGTGTCTTTGTCACTGGCTGAGAAAAAAGCCAATGAGGACTGCAGCCCCTCTACCACGTGACTACAAGATTATGCAAAGTGAGTAGGAGGCGTGGCAGGGGCGCACTGTGATTGGCTGGTCTCCTTCTTGGCTGAGGAAGCAGCCAATGAAAGGCAGGGACCCTTTGCCATCTCTGTTTACCAGCTTGCCATTACGCTAACTGCTGGTCCCCAAGTTGAATCCCCTTTGAATTCGTGGCTGGACACAGGATGGCTTGGGATCGAAATTGGTTTCCTTGTTGTTTAATATTTATTTTAAAGAATTTAGTTTAATTATTTTTTTTAACTTGCGCTCACCAGAGAGAAACAGAGAGAGAGAGAAAGTGAGACAGCAAGCCACCAGATCCAGGACTGGGACCGCCATCTGCCACCACATTCTGGCCCCCATATTTACCTATTTATTTGTTGTGATTTTCAAGTCTTGGGGTGCTGCACTCAAACTACAGTCGACCACGTGGGAATCCAGCACCTTAACCACTATGCCATCGGCTGGACCCAACCTCTGTTTTTTTTTTTTTTTTTTAAGAAGGAAGGAAGAAAAAAAAAATGGAAGGAGGGAACTATGACTTTGATACTATAAACTTTGGTGCATACTGGCTCCTTTTTTTTAACTATTTTTTTTTTTTTTAATTTTGACTAGAGAAGGACAGAGTGAGAGAGAGAGAGGGAAGGTGGAAAAGCAGGCCGCCAAGTCCAGGACTCGAACTTCATGTGGGAATCCAGCACCCCTCACCACCAAGCTACCTACCTACCCGCCCCCTAACCTCTGTTTTTTAAACTGTGTGTTCAAGTAAATCCCAGCTATTTTAACCTGTCCCCTTATTTGGATTCCTTTACTTTCACCCCCGGGAGCCCATTGTTCCAGCTTTTATAGGCTAATAAGTCCTTAGGGCTGGTACTTGGCGTGGTGGTTAACACCGCTGGACTCTCACATGGTTTGACAGCGGTTTGAATCTGGGACTGGCGGCTTAATTTCTCACTTTTTTTTTTTCTTCTCTCTAACTCTGTCCCTCTCTGCTCAAAATTGAAAAATAAATAAAGTTCATTAATTCTTTAGGAAAAAAAAAAAGTCCCTTATTTCACCAATGAAACGTTTCTGACATTCATTATGCTAATGAGCAGAACTTGCAGGTATGGATCCCCAGTCTTGTAGTAGGGTGGTTAGGCCTTGTGATGAGGAGCCAGAGCCGACGTTTTGCTGACAACAGTTCAAATCCCAGCCCTTGTGACTTAAAACACTCGCCAGACGCATGTGCCAGTGTATTCCAAACCCTGACAGGGTGGAGAGACAGAAAAGGGATTGCAGCGTGGGCATGCCCTGTTAAGGACTGCTTGCTCCCTCCCTCTCTCGGTATTTCTGGCAAGCACACACCCTCTAGCAAATTTTTAAAAAAATTCGCAAAGGGCTGACTCTGGCTCTGTGTTAAAGCCCTGCTCTAGAAAAGCCAGATCCCACATGATGACCATGGTTTATTTATTTTTTATTACAGATTTTTGCTATAGGAGGGTGTGTGTTCTTGCCAGAGAGACAGAGAAACAGGGAGACAGCGAGAAATCACCCCCAGTGGGTGATTTCCTTCAATCCCTTCTCCAGTCACCTCTCAGATTTGGGGCACACACACACGTGCCTGGCGTGAGTTTTAAGCCACCAGGTCCAGGATTTGAACCACAGTTGACTACTTGGGAATCCAGCAATGTAACCATTACACCATCTGCTGGTCCCTTGTTTTTATTTTTATTATTTTTATTTTTTAAAGAATTTTTAAAAATTTATCTTTATTTAGGGATGGCCACACCCCAATCCCTTCTCCTCCATTCTCCTCTCGGGATCTTGGGCACGCATGCACACGCGACCGGCGTGAGTTTAAGCCACCGGGTCTGGGACTCGAACTGCGGTCCACTACATGGGAGACCAGCAACAAAGCCATTATGCTAACTGCTGGTCCCTATTTATTTATTTTAATTTGACCAGAGAGAGACACATACAGAGAGACAGAGACGGAAAAGTGAGTAAGCAAGCCACCAGGCCTGGGCCTTAAACCGTGGCCAGCCATGTGGGAGTCCACCACGCTTAACCACTGCACCAACTATTGTCCTCAATGACCATGGCTTCAAATCCGCATCCTGGTCAGTCCAAAACACGCCAGGCAAGCATGTGAGTGCCCAGGATCCGAGACTGAAGGAGGAGCGTCATAGCTTGGCCAGACACCATGGATGGTGGGCTCTCCCTTCTCTTTCATGTGGGCATGCATTGCTCTATCGTGAAGAAAGGGGAAAAATTTATAGCAGATATTCTGGCCCAGATGAGTGGGCACCCTCCAGGACTCAAAGGGAAGAAGCTAAGCCGGAAACTAGGGAGAAGTGTCCAGGGAATCTGAACTTTGTGCAGGAAGCGAAGAAGAAAGATACATTTCCCCAGGGTGTTTCAGAGGGAGACAGAGCTGGGGAAAGGGCGTTGGGCTGGGAGTCAGAAGACAGCCGTCCTAATCCCAGCCTGCAGAAGACGGTGGGTAGCCGTGGGTGAGATTCCATGCTCAGATCCTCAGCTTCTCGGAGTATAAGAGGGCAGATGTGGGGCCAGGTGGTGGTACAGTGATAATGTAACTAGGACCACACGGGAGAGGTTCCGGGTTTGTGTCCCGGGTCCGCCCTGGACACACCTGACATGTGGGTTCATAACCTAGGTCAGTGATGAATGGGTGGGTCACACTATGGAGACCCTCCTGGGAGTGCCAGTCTGTCTCACTCTCTCTTGAAAGAAATGAATAAACTTGAGTCAGCAGGTGGCATGGTGGTTAAGGCTCTGGAGTCCCACATGACTGACCATGATTCGAGACCCGGACCTGGCAGCTTGAAAATCACGCTGGGTCTCTGTGCATGTGTGCCCAAAATCCCAGGAGGAGAATGAAGGAGAAGGGATTGCAGGGTGGCGATCC